CCAAAACACCCAACACCACCAACAACAACAACAAAACAAAACAAAACAAACAAACAAAAAAAAAATGAAAAAAAAACACCATCGAAAAAGAATATATAAGGATAAAAACAGCTCAGCAGGTCTGAAAATGTCAGGTTTTGACCTTTAAAAAAACCAGAATAGAACGGTATAATAATAAAGTACAGTATTTTTTCGATCAATGTCCCACTTTTAGAATATAGATCGTTTACAACTCTACATCATAGATTTATGACATCTACATTTACAACTTTCATTTGCAACCATAAGAGTTACGGACCAAAATTTTAAAGGAAGGCTTGTTGGATCCTCAAGTACAAATGGCAGCATTTAGGAGAAAGCAAAATACAATGCAACAGCTAAAACCAGTCATTTCCAAGCTTTCCAATTATCATCAGACCAAGGAAATACATTTTACATGACCATTTTTCAGCTTTGTAAGGCTATTCTGTGGAAAGTTCTGGTTACATTATTGGAAGTAGGATGCACAGGTTTCTGTGAACAAACCTCTTGCATCACACTTGCCCATTTAGGGAAGTTTTTGCTATGCAAGAAAATTACATTTAAAAACTTCACATTACTCTAAATGTGTGTTGAGGCTTTTTTTAGTAAATGAAAGCCTATTTCCAGTCAGTAAGAGTTTTATCACAGGAAAAACTCGTTTTAACTGACTAGGATTTAAAAAAAAAAAAAAAAAAAGATTACTTGTACGATTTCTTCTGTCAGTACTAAAGTTGGGACATTTAGCTGCTTATATTTGACTGGAGAGTTAAATATTGTCTCCTGTGCCAGCTATCAGAATCCCAATTGCTTGTGTACATTCCCCTCTGGTGGTGACTAGCAAATAGTACAGAAAACAAAAAATGCTGCCAAAGGGGCAAGAATTAAATGGAAATAAAAAGTTCTTCACTGAAAAAGGTCTTTTTTTTTAATCGTAAGACTTGAATTGTTTTTGAAACAATGAGCACATTTAAACATTCTTCAGTGGTAGTTAACAACTTCTCTGCTTAACCTTATCTTCCTCCTATTTATTTTTTATATTACACCAACTCTCTTGCCAAGATCAAGGTCCTTTTCCCCTGGTAATATATACATCAGTAATATTTTTGGCTTGCTTCTTCACACACATAACTAATATTAAATTACAGCACTTATAACTACCCAGTAGGGATTTTAAAAAAATAAAACATAAGCCAAGGTAAGGTAGCTGGATGTAAAGCTGCTGAAAAGGGAAATGAAAATTTGTATTATTTACATATTTGTATTATTGTACATTATTTACATATTTATATTATTGTACTTGTATTATTTCAGAAAAAGGGCAATGACATTTTCAGTGGGAAACTCAGAACTCTGCCCTGACAAATTCTGAGGGTTTATCAAAGCAACTATTGGAGGAATGGAGAATGTGCAACTGCAGGCAGACATCAGGAACAGATGGTCTTTCTTTCAGTCAAAGTTCTACAGACAAAGTGAAAAACATTAATTAAAAACTACATAGCTGTGCAATATATCATCCATTATTTAATGTTCTTTCTCAGAGAGTACCAAATGACTAGTCTCTAAAGGGGAAAAATGTTAGGATTTGCAGGCCAGTGGGGATCTTCTCTCATAAGCAGAAAAAGAGAGAAGGTCTGCGTATTTAAGAATAGGAGAACAGAAAATCTATTAACACCAAACATCCAGTTTTTCCAGAGTATTCCTTATATTCTTACAGATGACATCAAGAAGGACAATCTTTAAGGCTTTGTTCAATAATAAAGAGTCAGGAAAAAACATGAAGCTAAGGAGTAGTCTCCCCAAAAAAATCTTGTGACAGTGAATTTCTGCATTTCACAAGAGTAAGCAATGGTCACCAGCAAGTTATTCAGGATTATTTGGATAAATAATCTGAAAATGCTTGTGTGCTATATGGTTAGGTACATCTAGAGGCTTGAGAGAGACTTGAAGGGCCCTTTACACTCAGAGGTACTTAAATAGACTAGAATCCTCTTAGAACAACATGTTGTAACCTGAAATATAGAAAACAGATCTTCAGCATGGAAAAAAGTCATAGAAAATGTGTCAGTAAGAGACAGAAAGGATCTAAACTCATAGGACCTGCCAGTGCAGAAAGCTTTACAAGACATCCACATCCATACACTTAAAAGGGCTAAGAAAAGCAGAACAAAATGGTCATTCTCCTCAAGAAGTATGAAACTTATCAGCAAATAAAAACAGTATTTTAAAATTACTTTGTAACTCTAGCTCTTTACTCCCTAAAGTACACAACTATTAATCCACATGTAAATAAGTAACTTATACATAGACAGGGCAAAGTACAGAGCCTAATCAGGATTTTTCAAGAAATCTCCTTTCACCCTGAATGTTCAATGAGTCTGACAACTGCCTTCCCAGCAGCAGGAACCTCATCGCAAAGAGCCCCAGCACTGAGGCCTCAGTCATGCTGCTGATACCAGAAGAAGGGGTGTTTCATTGCTGCTTTAGGTATCACGGAACTCACTTCACACACTAAGGTTTCCTTGCATCTCTCTAGTCCTTTGTCAGTACCTACCCCTCCGCCATTCTCCCACTCCTGCAACTTCAGAGATCACTTTGCAGTAAATCCCTCCCGCTCCACCTCTGGGGCCTCCCAGTGCTTCTACATCGCTTCCACCTTTTCCACCTCCACAAGCCAGGGACTCTGATCCTTCCTCACTTGTTCCTGGATTTTCAAAGAGCTTTTCTAGAGGTTTTCATTTTTACACACTAATGATTACCCGATACTATACCCCTTAGGTTCAGCTGTGGCCAATATGAAGTCACAAAGGTGACACAGCCTTCCTGTGTGCTGAAACCTAGGGCTTTTATAAGGGTTTTTATATCAGTGCTTGAGGCTGCACATCTCAAAATTCAGTTTCAGGCATTTTCTACCTCCAGAAGACTTCTGTACCTTTGAAGATAGAAATTGTCTTCAGGTGGTACTTACTGAAATACTGTCCTAGTCCCACCTGTCTTGGTCCCTGATAGGTCTCTCTCTGTCTCACAATGGCCACCAACACTGTTGGCTACTAAAGCCAATGCTAAAGCTATTTGCTGCCTTGCGGGGTATACACAAAGGTCTAATACTTTGTCCGTTGAGCTTCAGACTGGGCAGACCCGGTCTCCAGTCTGGACTGTCACAACCCATATTCACCCTAACAGGGTGCAGCTTTCTTCTGTTACGTACATTATCCTCTGGATCCTACGGCCTGTGCCTGAACCCTGCAAACACTCTTGGGCCCTTGTTCAGGGGAGGCCGAGGTGCCGTAGCCAGAAGGGTGGGTGGTGATGAGGAAAACTCTTCTAATCTCCTGCTGTATCTGGAGCTGCTTTATATTGTGCCAGTTACCAACAAGAGCTGCAACACCACAGGCTTTCACTACCCTGTGCAAGTAGTGTTCAGAAGTAGTCCTGTTAAAGAATGACTAGCCATGTTCTTGCTGAGTGCCCTACTGTTAAACAGCCAGGTTTTGATCCACTGTGCTATCCCTGGACCCTCCTGAGTTGTTCTTGTTCTGGCCAAGGATAGCATATTGGGAGATTTTTTTAGTGCAGAGAGTTTTTAAGATGTTCTGAGCTGCTGGTAGAGTCACACGTGGATGTGACATATTGTTATGGATCATCTCCTAGCCACATTGAATGTGGACCTAACTTCTTTCACTGAGATAGCTATGGCTGAGCTCATTTAGCAGTACGGTTATAAATAATAATAATTATTAATATTTTTATTATTATTCCTCCTTCTTCTGCCCCTGTGCCATCTTATGCATGCATCTACTTTTCTCTCTGCTTGATAAAATGACCACCATTTCCCCTTGTGGGAAAGGGCTCTATATAAGTCTCCGGTTCTCCTCCCTCCTCTTTTTACTCACAGCATTTACTTTCATGACTTTCAATCAAAATGTCAACATTTTAAACCACCTTGCCATAACAGGCAGAATATAAAAGTATAGTGATATGCTGCACGTGGCTAATAGATGCTGTCAGTCAGTCCGTCATCTTATAGAAATCATACATATTTAATGGGCAGGATGAGCTGGATGTCCTAACTGAGGTATAAAGCTTAATTTGCAACAAGCTTCTGATTTATTCTTTATTTTTTATTTTCAGCAAAATCAAAAGGCTACTATATTCTACCCACTGGTCCATAATTATTTTTTCATCAGACATCCATTTACCCATTGTTCTAATTGCTTGGATCAAAATATAGTACTGCATGCTGGGACCTATCACACTGCATGGCAAACTTTCTCTGTATTAAGTATGATCCTCAAATCTTCTTGGCATTTTGGAGCTGAGCAACACATTGAATAAAGTCTATGCAAAGCATAACCAAAGCCTTAGTTTTCCACAGGCATGAAAACTTCATTTAACATGCATCAGATGCTTCCTTTTGAAGGGAAATACCAGGCAATAGCTTTGAGAAGAACTATTTAACAGACCTTCTTTCCAAACACCCATTTCTCTCTCCTTCCTACCCAGATTTTTCTCCCTTAGCTACAGGGTAATTGTGTTCCGCAACCAGCTAGTACAAAATCTCCATGAAAATACCTCACTACACGAAGTGCCCCAAATTTACATACTTTCTAGCTCTACCTCTTTGTAGTCTATTAAGATTACAGATCTGGATTTGGTTTTGGAGCACTACATTGAAACTAATATTATTAAACTAGATTATTGTTATTATTTGTGATGAGCAGTGCAGAACAGTGCCTGTGTGAATCTCAGGGTAACATTTATATTTTCCTTTATTACGATTCTTAACGTAGCATTTAAGTGAGTGGATTTGAACACAATCATCAAGTTCTTCAACTTCTTGAATTCCAAAAATTCACAGAGGTACATTTTCAAAACAGCTTAGAAAAAGCCATAGGAAATGGCGTTGTTAAAGGGAGGGCAAATGAAAAAAAAAGACACCTATAAGACAGCAAAAAATTGAACATTTTCTCCGTTCGTCCCAGATGAAAAACAAAAATTGCAGTCCTGCAACCCTTCATGCAGGACCTGTGAGAAATCTGCTGATGTATGTACTTCATGTCCAGAAGGTAAGAGACTTCAGCTTCTTTGGGTAAGTTTTGCAAGAGGCTAAAATATTCTGTATCCTACACACTTCCCAGGAATATTTTCATCAACAGTCACTAGAAAGTTCTTTCACAGCCTAAAGCATAGGCAAGTAATCAGATAATCACCAGCTGAAGTCAGGCATCAGCTAGGAATTAAGTACATGCCCTTGGCAATGCAGCTAAAAAAACCTCTTAGGTTGATGTTGTTCTTTTTCTTTCTTTTCAATCAAAAGTTGTAGAAACGATGCAGGAATTCCTGAATAGGGATCAGGAAGATCATACAATCATAGAATTGTTACGGTTGGAAGAGGCCTCAAAGATCATCAAGTCCAACCATATACCCAATGCCACCATGCCCACTAAGCCCACCAAACCATGTCTCTAAGCACCACATCTAAATGTTTTTTGAACACCTCCAGGGATGGTGAGTTCACCACCTCCCTGAGGAGCCTGTTCCAATGCCTAACGACTCTTACAGTGAAGAAATTCTTCCTAATATCCAGTCTGAACCTCCCCTGGCGCAACTTGAGACCATTTCTTTACTGGGGATAAGAGACCAACCCCCACTTCGCTATAACCTCCTTTCAGGTAGTTGTAGAGGGCGATAAGGTCTCCCCTCAGCCTCCTTTTCTCCAGGCTGTGATGTGCTAGATAATCTAGCAGATCCATATGTGTAAGGTAATCCTGATGATTCCTTCTAACCTTAAATTTCAGTGACGTTTGAGCAAACTACTTTGGGAAATGGCTTAAATAATATTTTACTCATGTTTATAAGCATCAAAAAGTTAAATTTTGAGGAAGTTGAAAGGTTTTTTTATAGCCATCCAGGGCAGGAATCTTTAAAATATATTTCTAACTGATGCTTTTCCCCACTTGGGTTGTTCTTTTGCCAGGAAAATTTCTTATCCATGATACCTGTGTTTCTCTGTGCCCTCAAAAAACTTTTGGCAATGTTGCAAGTGGAAAGTGCGAAATATGCATGGACGGCTGTGAGGTGTGCTCTGACCCCTGGCACTGTCAGAAGTGTCAGGCTGAAGAGGACCAGCTGCTCTTCCTCCACAACGGCAGATGTTTACAGGGATGCCCTGAGGAAGTAACTCCTGTCGGATGACTGTTCCTTATTTTCTCACTGTGCTCTTCCTCTTCAAAGGTCAGATTCATTATAAACCTTTCAAGGGACATCTTAATGTAACTTAAGCTATCAGAAACTACCACAAGGTTAAAGTCATTTTCAGCTGGCCTGAATAAACAGCATTTTCTCATGTTTAGAGAAAAAGTGAAAAATCAAAAGTGAAACTAGCCATGAAATCCCGTGACAGATGGTACAGCCCCCATTTACTTCAATAGAACCATGGTACTTCCGGATGGTTCATTATGGTGACTGAAAATAAGATTCTTGTCACTCTCTTCACTTGTTCTTTCCTCAAAGTAGTACAGAGCAGGGCTGTGAACCCAGAAAGTGGATGTATCAGAGTCCTGATATGCTAATATAGTGCTTAGTGATGAGTTTCTCTATTTGGTTTATATTCTTTACTTTCTCCTGTAATAAATGTAATTCAAAAAGAAAGATTACCATTTGACTGTGATGGATCAGGCACTGGAGTAGATCAGTGCTTTTTCTGTGCTTTTTTCATCAGCAATCATCATACCTATATATATGCACAAAATCCGTGCTATGCACTATGAAGATCTTCCTTGGTTAACCTTTTTCTTTAGAAAAATGCACAGCTCCTGCTTTTCTTACCATCAGTACAAAGTACTCTGGCAGTACTTTCCTGCTAACTTTGCCAAATAAGTCAATACGGGTCAGTGGAACAGATTCTGGTCAACAAATGTCAGAGTAAATACAAAGTAATAGCACTAAAGCCTACTGTAGTACAGAAACAACTTTTCATATCAGAAATTGTGGTATACAAGCAAAGATAATGTTTTGGCATTAATATGTTTGTTCTCAGTACTCCTTCCCCACAGTTATCCTACACAGGGTCAGTATAACAAAACCAAACCTTTTCATATGTCACTACTCTTTTCAGCTGTTATTATCCTCCTTTTTTGCAAATTCCAGACTATCAATAACGGCTTCCCAGACATCATTCAGCAAAGTTCACCAGAGTTAAACTCTGGTTTGAGTCTCTGAGGCAAAGTTCTTGAGGCATAACTAATCTCCACTGGAGCAGAGACTGGAAGAGATCTTTGTTTTGAGGGTTTTTTTGAGTTTTGAAACATGCTGTAGGGGATGGAAAGGGTTAACTTGCTGCACTGATAATTTCTGACAGAGGATTTTGAAAGACTGGGCCAGCCAAGTACTCAAGACTGGAGTAAGAGAAGAAAACAGGACTGTGAGAAATAGGTGGAGGATTAGGACAAAGTTTAGGAGAAAAAAAAGATGAGAATAGATGGCAGGCACAGCTTTTCCTATCGTTTCTCTCTAACCTTGCTCCTAAAGCACCTCCTCAGCCTTTCTTTGGAAAGAACATCTCCAAGAAGGAAATAAGAAGCACCCATCTACAGCGAAGAACAAGCTTGTTAATGTGAAGTACTTGTTCTGGGATTACTTTTTTTGTCAACTTCTTCCTTAGTTTTCATCAATGGCTGTACACATATGGATTAGCAATCATCTCAAAATGTGGACTTGTTTGTCCTTTAACTTTCTAACGTTTTTGTTTTGAGAGTGTAGGCAAATTGGATTGCATCCAGCCTCTCCTTTTATTCCTCTTCTCCTGAAATGTAGGCACAAGTTTTTGCTACATTTTCTTTATGACTAATAATCCCAACCATGGTTGTCTATGGTTGCTCTCACATCACAGATACCAGTAAAACACGCTCCGTCTTCACTGTCTCTAGCTTGCTATCACTAAGTGCAGGTACTATCTAGGCATCCTGGTTTTGTTGGGTTTTTTTAATCTCAGCCCTCCTTATTCTTCCCAGCCTTCATACTTCTACTACGAAGGTTTTCTCTACTCTTTGTCCTCTCTAGGGCCACTGAGGTTATACTTCTGTGTCTTTCCCTGATATCATTGTTGAGGGTCAGCTGTGCAAGACTAGAGATTGCATCTTTCTTTTCCCAAACATTATGGATTTTCCTATCTCATGTAAGGGGGAAATCAAGAAATGCGCAAGAAAGTCCAACATCCCTTAGGGAGTAGGTACAAGAACAAAGGAAGGACAGACTCCCTTCATAGCACTAACCATGCACATTTTCTGCCCGTAGGCAGAGGGGATGTAAGTGGAAGATGGGCAAAAAATTGTGTGAGAAACCTCTTTCTTTGATTCAGTTAAATGTGTGTGCTGGGAAAGTCTCATATGTACTTTTGTATTTGTATAGCCTGGACTGTTTGATAACTACACATTGACTGGCAGCTTGCTTTGTGTTTCTTTTCGTTCAATAGGGGATATTTTAATGATTCTGAGACTTGCAAGGAATGCAGTGGATCCTGTAAGACATGCACAGGAAGTGCAAACAAATGCCTGTCCTGTAAAAGTCCTTTGCTTCTGGAGCAGTGGAAATGTAAACCGACCTGTTCAGAGAAGCATTTCGCCTCTGAAGGAATCTGCAAACACTGCCCTGAAATGTGCCAGGAGTGCATTCACGATCAAACATGCAAAGGTATTATAAAGAACTTGGCTTGGCTTGGCTAAAATCTGTCTTGATCTTTCTAGAGGCAGACTGACAGAAATGTAGATTTGAAAAGAAATTCTGTAATAAGCAAAAATAAAAGGTGTATATATAATTGCTAATCTCTAAGATAAAGACTAAGCAGAAAGTGCTTTTTGATAAGACTGAGTCTAAACTGTTAATCTGTAAAGATTTCACATTGCTTTGCCTGTTCCTGTAGTCCTTTGGAAATTCCTACTGGTTTGATTCTATTTCTGATGTAGTGCATCCATGCCTGAACATTTAAACCAGTGTGAAATATAGAATGTTTCTTTCCTTGTTTGGTTGAACTCTACATCTCTTTACCATTTTTGCAAATGAGTGCTCATGGTAGAGAATGAAATGTCTGTAATGGAACACGTTATGAAAACTTTGGATATCCTGGTGAGTCTGAATGTCCCCACAAAAATTTCCAGGATAGTTAATATTGAGAAGCCATTCTGGAAACATAAACATGGATGGATGAAACAACAACAAAAAAATCATAAATAAAGCCATTAAACCAAGTACTCATAGTAAAATTAGCCACTGAATCCCAGCTCTATGCAAAGACAAACATTCAGGTCCATATATTCCAGCCTGACTCATATTTTAATAATAAACCAAACAAAACTTCAGATGTGGACATCCCTGATCTTGCAGGAAGTTCATAATGCAGATATAATATCTCAGTAGAAGTCCACCTATATTAAGTAGCAGCATGGTTTGGCTAACACCGGCAAAGCTGAACAGATGACTTCACTGCTCAGTCTCTTGATGTAACACAGAAGATGCTGTGTAAGGGTTGGGCCATTGCAGGCAGTTTGGAGGGGAAAGCGTCAAAAAAGAAAGCACTACCTTCCCAAGCTGTCCTCTTACCTCCTACCATGACAGGTGCTGCAGGAGTTATGGTTTCCTAGGATTTCTTCACTCCCTCAGTTACAGAGGCCAGAATTCACTGCCCATTTGCTCACATGTTGTTTGCTGTCACCTGTAGAGTGCATGGACGAGTTCTTCCTGCACGAAGGGAAGTGTGTGCAGGACTGCCCTTCTCACTTCTATGCTGAAGACAAGCACTGCTTTCCCTGCCATGCAGACTGCAGGGATTGTGACGGGCCTGACTCAGACGACTGTACCAAGTGCACCATCGACTTCTTCGTCATTTACGGTGGCATGTGTTTTGAAGAGTGCCCTGAAGGGACCTACTATGAAGAAGCTACTGAAGACTGTCAAGGTTGGTAGCTGTTGTTTTCCCCAGAAAGGTACTGAGATACAAGGGGGTTTGGTTAAAGACTATCCCAAAAGGGCCTGTGTGTGCTTGCTGATGTTGCTATCATCGGTGTCCTGGAAATGAAGGAGACAGCGAATGCAGAAAAATAATACGGCATACCTTAGAACAGCAAAAATTGGAGAAAGCTGAGAGAGGTAGCAAAGCTAGATGTGTTTAATATTATAGGCAACCACTCTGGTAACGTGCCGAGTATGCTGGAGACAGTATGTTGAAAACCACTGCTCAGCAAAAGCCATGCCAGCGCAAAAGGAAACCTAAGGAACTGCCTGCATAAGATTGAAAATAGTAAAATGTCTGACTATTCAGAAGCAGAGCTATTTCTCTGTTTCTCTCAGCCTCTCGTCCTGAGGTGATGGCTGCTCCTTGCAAAATTAAAGCTGAACTAATAATCTGAAATGCAACAAGAAATGGTGACATTCCAACCGTTTGTCCATTTCAGCATGCAACAGGACATGCCAGACTTGTTCTTCTTCCACTGCCTGCCTTACTTGCAGAAATGGCCTGATGCTGAACCATGACGGGCAGTGTGTGGCATCTGGATATTGCTCTCGCACTGAGTACTATGTTGAGAAAACTCAGACCTGCAAGCGTTGTCATAAAAAATGCTTCCACTGCTCAGGACCCACGGAACACCAGTGTTTTAGCTGTGCGAATAACCACTACCTTCTCAGTAAGTGTCTTGCTCCTCCCTCTTGATTTTATTCTAAGTGACAGCATGAAATAGGCAAGTTTCTGTCACATTTATGAAACATCTAGGGCTGCTTCAGCCATCCTAAATATTGCAGACTTGACCTGACAAGTAGGTAACTTGTGCAGAGATAATTACTTCTGTGGGACTACCTGGAAACTCTTTGCAAGACTGGGCTTGCCACTCACTGGGGCCAAAGCAGGACTTCTAAGTAGCAACAAACTCCACGGCTAAACAAAACTTGTATGTTTCATTTACTTGGTATGTACTCTTCCTGTTATTTCCTACAAGGAACTTAAAAAGACACAAGGAATATCCTTAGGTTTTTTTTTCTTAAATGTACGCACAAAGAGCTCACATTTTCATACTGGTTTGTTTAATCCCTGCAGAGATCTGATGAGCAAAGAAATACTTAAGCAGAGCTCTTAAAAAGTTCTTCATGGATCATTAGGTCAGTATCTAGTGGACGGCTGAGGTGCAAAACTACTTTTCTGACATTGGAGCAAAGGACTGTATTGTCTCAGAAACAAATTGGTAAAAAGTATAAAATCCCAAAACTTAAATTTTACTTCTTTGCACGTTCTTTAAAAAACAAACAAAAATTTTAGAAAATCATTGGGAGAAAAAAATTACTAAAATGATCTTTCATGCAGGAAAAATCTAAACAACATTTGAATTAAGACTGAACCTGAGTTTTTTGAGTCTAATTCTGATGCAGAGTTTGCATTCTTAGATTTCTGAGGTCTTGCATCAGACCTGTCTTTTTATTAACACACTCAGCTGCTTTGCACCATTACAATTGGGGAAGTTGATGGAAGTATGTAAATAAACATCGTGGAGTGGAGAAAGAATTGTAAGAGAAATAAGGGGAAGTATCTTTCTTTGCCCAGTTGCAGCCCAAGTAGCAAAAGTATAAAAGACAAGCCAGATAATTAATACAAGCTACTAACAAGTACCCACTGCTCTCTTAGCTTGATGCACTTGCAGTTAGTTGCATCAGTCCTGACTTCTCATTCATGGTTCCTATTTTAATGACCCTTGGAAAACTCAGTGAAAAACTGGGATGTATCTGGTACATTTGGCAGCAATACAGGCATTTATTCCCATAACATAAAGCAGTAGTCACAGACAGGGGTAAAGGCCAGCGAACAAACGTCATTAAATCTCAAATTTATGCATATTCATCATATACAGAGAATGCAATGAGGTTGATGCTAAGAGTGAAACATAAGGAAAATGGCAAGGCAGGTACAAAGTTTCCTAACTACTATTTCTTCTTTTGTATATTCTGAAAGAAATCACAGCTGCTGTTCATTATTATGTATTATGCATTTATATTTCCCAAAGACAAAAAGTTACCTGTTCTGAAGAGCCTGCTAATGTACATAAAATGCAGAAATGAGGACTAATGAACTGGCAAGACTTAGAAGAAACAAAAAATAATTACTATATCCCAACATTCTCTTTTCTTGCTCTGGTACACTCTCCAACAGCATCTCCTGTTAAAGAGTTTGCTCTAGCAAAAGCTGTATGAGATGTTTTGTAGCAGCAAATACTGAATATGATGTGTGGTTCTGCATTGTTGTCTGAGCAGATACAACTTGTGTTGAAACATGTCCAGATGGGTATTATGTTGACAGCAATGAGAGACAATGTTCCCCATGCCACAGCGCCTGTGCCACCTGCATCGGGAAACACAGCTCACAGTGCCTTTCCTGCAATCCAGGCTGGTACAGACAAGGAAAAGGATGCGTAAACCAGTGTCCAGCAGGGTAAGGTCCAAGATCTTTAGCTAAGATCTACATCACAGAGAGAAGCTGGAGAAATTAGATCACTCTGCCCCATTCTCCCTCAGAGTGAAACAGAACTGAGTTCTATTTTCAGGCGACAAATTCATATGTTGTCCCAGTACAGAAGTGATGGAAAACCTTCCCTCACAGTAGAAAAATTTAAAGTTGGTGTCCAAATTTGGACCAGCTTGATGTGATGTGGCCATTCTTACACTCCAAGGATGCTCTTAGGTTATGTTTATACAGAAGAGTGTGAAGCAGAATAAACACACAAAGTTAACTGTTGGCCCGCTTGAGCACAGGAAGCAGCATAACTTCCTTCAGTTACCCTTGCAGCCTTCACTTAACCTGAAGTTCAGATGAGGGTTCTTTTGTTTTGCATTCAGTGAATGTTTATAACGGATCATAATGAAACCAACCATTAAAACACCTTTCAACTGAGGACGCATAATTCTAGACAGCAACTTCATTAATATGACCCCATTTAATTTAAAAATGTGAATTCAACGTGCTCTTGTGAAATTCAAATTTGGGAAGTAGACCTATGATTTCTGGTTCAGGTCCACTTCATTTTGCAGTACAGTACAATCACACTGGTTGGTAAATTATCATCCCATTAAACTGAAAGTCTGTAATGACCACATCTCAACAAAACCACACTGCAGTAATTCTTTTTTCCCTCACAGCACAACTTGGGTGAACACTGTTCCTCCGCTGAAACCCTTTGGCTAAGCCTGTTTGTGCACTGGAAGTAAATATGAAATTTCTGAATTTCCATCTGACAGCAGGTCATCAAGGACCAGTGAGGAATTCAGTGCTCACTCAACATCTCCAGGATATCTCTTGCAGAGCCAAAACAGAGTTGAGGTTTTCTGAGCCCTGCCTATTTATATACTTACTTTGTGTCTGAATTCACCCTAGATTTTAGAAAGCCTTGCTTTATACACTCTCAGTTTACAAAGTCTTGCTTTATAGCTGAACTCCAATGGCCAAGAGGAATTAAAGGAAATTAATTCTATTCCCACTGAGATTGCAAATGTTTACTGTGATCACATCAAAATCACTTTTATACATTGATGTAATCATAGTAAAAGCTAAGGTTGAGGGCTGTTTTGGTTTTCCTGCCACTGCTGAGCCTTATGCAAAGCCATGACTATCCGATCTGTTTCAGGTATTTTGCTCAAAACTCCACTGGATCATGTGAGAGATGCCACAAGGGTTGTAAGGAGTGTATGGGGCCTCAACCCACAGACTGTCTTTTCTGTGATACATATTTCTACCTGTTGCGTTCCAAGAATGAATGCGTTAGCTCTTGTCCAGAGTATTACTATGAAAGCAAGGACAACAATGTCTGTGAAAGATGCCACCCTTCCTGCCGAACTTGTGAAGGTAAAAGCATACACTCCACTCTGACCAAAAAAAAGGTTATCAAAACACCTTCCAAGGATTATCAAAACACACCTGAAATCTCTTTTTTTTTTTTTTTTTTACTGTCTGCTCCAAGATTTGGAAACATTTCACAAGGAGACATACCACATACAGTGCTACCAACCTGTCCATGACCTAAGTAGCCACAGTGGGTGATGCAGACCTCCCCTGGGGCTGCCGGGCACTCCCTGGCCCTGGGTGACTTGCTGCACTGGCTGCCCCATGCTGCCACCTTTCTTTTAGAGTATTGATCTATCGAGATCAAAGCAAGGATATGAATTCCTGCCAAAATCCCCGCAGGGTTGCCTCCAACCAAAGAGCACAAGTGTAGAGGCAGCCACTCACGGGGAGGGCTAGGAGTGAGTCCTGGTGCCAAGTCAGTGAAAGGAAACAAACAGACAATGATAATGAATTTTCCATCAGCCAGGACTCTCACAAAGATGTTCATCAACTTCAACAAAAAGGGCTCTGTTAGTTTCAGAGCTGGACCTAGTTTCTTGCACAGACACTGAATAATGACTGAATAATATCTCACTCTTCGAGCTGTCCTACTACATGTTACTCTGTGAAAGCCAAGAACCTAATCCAACCACACATCTTTACAGCCTGCACAGGGAAGAGTAGAAATAGCCATAAAGAATATCTTTAGAGTGAAAAGCAAAAAAAGAGAAAAAAAGCTGTGATGTCTGCTGCTTTTAATACAGTTAAGTATTTTTCAGAGTTAATTTTGAGAGGTCATCTACTTTATTCTGTGACACACTTACGTATTCAGCTTCTTCTTTTTCCTAATTCATCCAATTTTGAATCAAACAGCATTAATCCCCTTGGACCCATTTGGTGTCCTTTTCTATGTGAACGGCATCAGATGACACCTAACAGGCACCACTCTGCAGCTTAGACCACACCATATTGTGATATACAAAATTTGTTTTGGATAGTGGATATACTGGATAGAACAGATGGCTAATTGCATCATAACAGTATTTAAAATTGTGGAAATAGTTCTTAGAATGAAGCCACCTTCAAGAACTGTTAAAATGTAATTGCATAACAACATTACAATAAGTAATAGAAATATTTTGGCTTGGATGTGGGACAAAAAGATAGCCATTTTAATTTAGACTACTTCCATTGATTTTTACTTTATTTGGGATAAATACTACAGGACAGATTTTCTATCATAATCAGAGAGTCACTAAGATGAAACACAAACCAGTTCTTCTCAAAAGCAAACCTGTAAGTGTTCTGAGATGCATCTGCACTGCTCATGTATGAGCAAAGAAGTGTTGTGGTGTCTCCTGTTTCTCAAAAGCAGGAAGGCATACCCTGCACTGTGCAGAAAAATCACTTAGTAAATTCACTGGATTATAGAAGGTTGCTAACTTCAGCTGTTTAACTGCTGTTAACATGAGCTACTTGAACTTCCAATTCCTTCCTTTCAGAGAGTGGCAGAAAACACCTAGTTGCAGGGAAATGTACATCTTAACACGTAGGACAAACCCATCAATGTTTCACAGAAATACTGCATGCAGCATCCGTCTTCAGAAAGAGTCTCCAACACACAAAGTGCATATGATGCTCTGTTTCCACCTAGTGAAGAATTTTTTTCCTGTGCAACTAAAGAATTGATTTTACCGTTCAAACATAAACATACCTTAATTCATTGTGGTTTGAAAACAGTTAGCTAGCAGCTTAATAAGTATTGATTTTGTGAAGTAGAGTATTTGGCCAAAGTTCCCCACAATTTTACTTCAGTGCACTGACCTAATTGATTTTCCGGAATGTGTCAAAGCTTCACTGTACAACTGATTCTCAAATGACCTTTTCATGAATATCAAAACACGTACAAAATACACTTGTGGGCACATAAAACCTCAAGACTAGGCCCAAGCTCTTTCTAATACTAACCTCCTCATGCTGAACTCCTCACTGCTGATTCTTGATGTTGACAAATACCCTTTTCTTTGGTGGTAGTGGTCATTACAATTTTTAAAGAAAGGTAGATGACAATTTTTCCTGTTGTAATGTTGTTGTTCTATTTGCCTTTCTAGGGAAGGGGGCATTCAGCTGCACATCTTGTGTATGGAGCTACAGTTTATCAGGTGGAATGTGCAACTCAGACTGTTTTGTAGGTGAATACAAAGTCCAGGAGACGGCAGGACAAGAGGTACCTATTTGTAGGCACTTTTCCCTGTGATTTGTATGCTGAACTTTAACTTCTGAACACAATACAAACACCATAGAATGCTCTTTTCTGAGTTTTCAAGGCTGCTTATCTTTAAATATGCTTACTTCTTTATTCTCTCGGCAAAGGAAGCATTGTTTCTCTTTCTGGGGTTGTCTACTCTTGAGTAATCCTCTACCAGTAAATATAAAGGTACAACCTTGTCAACGACGATACCAAAGCCAAATGAACAAAATCAGCTGTATTAGTAATTCATCTTTTTCTTCCAGTATGACTGAGATTTCCCCACAGATTTCTGCTGCTTTGTCTGTAAGAAATCACATCGTATTCCTGATTGACAGCTATGCTGGCGCAAACCTCTGAAATTAACAGAGCTGTATATTTACTAGAGTAGGACCACAATGAGGTTTGGGTCTGTGGCACAAGTCTGGGCACTCCAGCTTCCAGATTTCCACACCAACTGCCTTCCAAAGATGTTTATTCAAGAGTATAGCAGCAAGGTAAGCCAGCTGGCCTGAGATGCTGCATACCCTGGAGTCTCTGGCCTGGAATATCCCCTTAGCAGTGCTGCTCCATAACTGTGAGCCTGAGAAAACAGTCTAAGAGTTGGGGAACACAGAGGTCTGCAGTTCTTTCCAAGAGCTTTGACTCTGAGAAACTGGACCTCTAGCTATGACCCTCCCATCTTGCCCAGGTTCTTCGATTCAGGACAAGCAGCCTTGCAGGTCTGACAGAAAGTTTGATGAAAGGTTATTAGAGTTTCCAGATCCTCACAGTCAATATGCGGTCCTGGTGCCATGGCAGAAAAATAGCAATTTTTTCCCAATAGGCTGGGAACTGCAAATACTGGAAGCCCTGAAATAGCTGAGCTCAGAGCATTCTGCAAGGTAGATGTGACAACAATGATCTCTGATTGTATTTGTACACAGAGGTTCCCAGGGGCCTATCTGGAATTTGAGAAGCATACCTGAATTTAAGTTGTTTCTGTAAAACAGAACAAACACGATCTAATAAAAATCTGGTTTACTAGAAGATTTCCAGACAGCTTTTATTCGTTATTTCTACTCCTTCCCAAATTAGAAAGGAAATTCATTCTCTCAGGTGCCTTTTTTTTTTTCCAGAATATTTCATGTTGCTTCTTCCATGTCGGTTAGTTTTAATGATACTCTTGCGTACACTTCTTGAAGGCCTCTTTACCATCATTACTGCCAAAGAACAACAGATCTGCTAGCACAGGACTAACAACACAAAAACACACCTTCTGGCCAAATTGCTTACATTCTGAATGAATTTTATCCTGCTGTCTAGCTAGGTGAGCTGTCTAAGCTCCTACAACACTTTCCCCCATCTCCCTACAC